TCACCTCGACATTACGAAGATATCACTACTTCTTAGTTTAATTTCAAGCAATTTGTATATCTCGTGCTCTTCTAAATATTAAATTTTTTTGCTACACAAAATATATTGAGTGCGTGCATGTAATTTAAAATATTCATAAATATGATCAAAATATTAAAAATATGACTACACATTTCTTGCATGTCTTTTCTTAGTGCTTATATTTCGACTTGGAAAAGCTATGTCCAACTATCGTAGAATTACCTTATTCCCAGCAATCAGCATCCATACCATTGCAACAGGGACAATTTAATGGATGCATTTATATACTTTTGACTGTCATTTCTCGAAGAATCAAAACAAAATACAGTTAACGGCAATAATTATTTCTCAATTTAAATCAATCTAATTTTGAACAATTTTTATTTTAATATTGAAATATTTATTTCATTTTGTTTTCAATTATACCATAAGACATTGATTTTATCAAAATTTGCTGCAAAATATATCCACAGTATCTATTCCGATCAGCAGTGATAATTTAATTATTTTTGAGAAAAGAGAAAGTTTCTTATCTTTTTTTAAAAGAATGAAAACATAATGCATTTAGAGACTATAATTATTTTCCAACGTAGATAAACGTTAATTTTAACATTTGAACTTAAATTATCAATCAAACATTCAGTTTATCTAGTTTTAGATTTAATATAAGTTATTTATTTATTTTTAATATTTATTTGATATTTGTTTATTTATTTACTTTTATGTGCGCGTGTGTTCGTTTAAGAACGCTGGCATTAAGCCTTGCTAAAAGTAATGACTCTCTATAGCAGACGCTTGGAAACTTCACCGTGATTTTAAATCATTGCTAATAACTTCATTTCCATCTCAGCCTTTATCGTGACCTGTTTCAAGCTTGATTCACAGGTACAGATTGTTTTTATGACATCATGCTGGTACAAAGCCTGACTTTTACTTGCTCCTTAAAATCTCCTGGGAAAGGACTTCTTTTCGGAAGGACATTCCTGAAAGTAGCTATCATGATGTCTTTGATACCTGTAAATCTCGTTGGAAGTGAGGTATCAATGCGGAAGAAACCTACCTTGAAACCTATAAATCTCGCTGGAAGTGAGGTATCAATGCGGAAGAAACCAACTTTTAAACCTGTAAATCTCGCTGGAAGTGAGGTATCAATGCGGAAGAAACCTACTTTGAAACTTGTAAATCTCGCTGGAAGTGAGGTATCAATGCGGAAGAAACAAACTTTGAAAACTGTAAATCTCGCTAAAAGTGAGGTATCAATACGGAAGAAACCAACTTTGAAATTTGTAAATCTATCTGGAAGAAACATACTCTGAAACCTGGAATTGTAGCTGGAAGTCAGCTATCAATGCGGAAAAAACCAACTTTGAAACCTGGAAATCTAGCATGGAAGTAAGGTAGCAATGTGGAACAAACCTACTTTAAAATCTATTAATTTGTTGTATCAATCTGATCCTTAAAGGGTTTTTAACAGACTCAATGACATTACCATGTCACTTAAGCGTATTTTTATAAATTAAAAATTAAGAATTATGCCTAGAATAGAATTTAGTGTTTAAGTTGAATTAGTGCCGATCAGTAACTGCGTGAATTGTTTTGTGTTAGGTTGTATCAGTGAAGTATATATTAGTTTACTAAAAAAAACATTGTAAAATGTTTCAAATAACACTTTGAGTAAGTTCTTAAGTGTTCAGAAAAACAATAAAAGTATAGAAATTCATATTCAATAGATTTATTGCAAAGATTTTTATAAAATCACAATATTTACAGAAAAAATTTACATGACATTCATTATCAGATGTTCATGGAAGAATGCATAGAAAAGGAGAAAGTGAATTTTATATAAAGACTGTAAAATAAAATTATATGTTCATATGTTAAATTAATAGATATGTGTTGCACATTTACCTGGCTCTCCACATTAAGCTTCTTAAGTGGTATTTTGACATTCTTAACCCACTAAGCCTTAGTCCCAAGTATTTCCAAATTTTAAGATGCAGGACTTGCCTGCTTCTGGAAACCAGTTTTTCCTGATATATTTAGGGACAGGGAATTGCATAACAGAGAAACTTCAATGCAATTTTTGAAGAGTTGAAGGAACAAAAAAAATCAATTATTCCAAAATGGCATTCAGTATTTTAATTGCCTTTTTCATCAACATTTTTTTTCCAAAGCAAACCATTCAACGGTATGTCATTATAATTTCAAATTACAATTGCATATCTCCTTTATTATTAAAAATGAATTAATTTAGAAATAAATATATCTTTATTACTCGCTATTTTATTTTTAGTATTTTAAATTTTCGAAGTTTTATTTTTCAGGAAATACTTAACAAACTAAATAATGCATATCAGGTAACTCATTAGAATTCTTTCCTTTATTTTACTTCTGTAATTTCACAGTTAAAATATAAAAACCAGAAATATTACGCACTGTTAGAAATTTCCCTTTCAAATTTTTGAACAGAAATTTATTTAATTGTTACTTTGCCATATTCAACCAAAGCATTCAAATAACCATAAAAGAGGATTATATTTAAACTGTTATGGGCGAGAAAAAAAATTTTGATTTTCTTTAAATTAATTTTTTATTTTTAATTATTTAATTTTTAACTTTTAATTAATTTTTAATTATTTCATTTTTAAAATTTTTTTTTACGGTGTAACTACCAGAATTTTATCCGATCAAACTAGGCCCTCCTAATTAAGCCATTTTGCTCCATACAGCTATGTGCGTGTAGCTGAGAGAGCTAATCGTTCTATCTAATGTCTGGCTATACAGGGGTTCGAATTCCAACCTTGATACCCCAATATTTCTTCCATTCATTTAATGCTGAAAAGTTTCCATAGTCCTGCACTCGTCAATCGGTAACCCTAGGTTATAAGAATACGAAACTATCATTCACGTGTAAATGACGCAGCCCCCAAAGAGCTTCAATGCGAGTTAAGTTTTGCTTTTGCGGATTATAAACTATGCTAATAGTAAATAGATACAAATCCGTAGAATTTTATATTCACGGATTCTTAACTGTATCAGTTGTAAACGGTTTTTCAGCCAGGTAAAGAAATGTTCCTAACCATGAACTTCGTGGTTAATCGAATGAACAGATTGCCGCTGTTTATTTTATCATAATTTCAGAAGGAAAATTCTAACAGTGCATAATTAATAAATGGTCATTTGTTTGATTCTAATTCCTCAAATCTTATCAATTTATTTGATTGCAGTAAATCAACTGATTATTAATTTTTAAAGTAACTTAAATTTAAACATCAAAAAATTTCAGCCTTAGTTTAATAATCGTTATCTTATTTATTTTCGCAATTTGTGTCATAAATTATACCCTGGAATGTATTGAGTTTGAATCAGAACAATCACTTCTTTAAACAAATTTGAATACTGAATTTAAGTAAAACTGTATTTTTTAACTGAATTTAAGTAACCGTGAAAACAAAATAACACCACAATACTAACTTCTACTTCAGCCATTCCTTAAAAATCTATATGTAAAAGTGATATCAAAACAATATTTTCACTCTTCAATAAAATATATTATGGAAGTTTGGATATGGTTTTAAATGAAGCCTTTATTTGCCATCAGCGCTTCAGGTTGAGGAAAAGTTCAAACTTCAAAATTTCATTTAGAGAAATCACATGAGGATGTAACGGTGGGGGAAAAATCACATTAGAACTTGGACGTTTCAATGTGGCTGTTACAAAGTGTTCTGCTATCACCACTCTTAATCGAAGTTTTAGAATTCTTCTAAATAAATATTCAAGGAAAGAAATAGAAAGTGAGAAAAAAGCGTTATCAAAATCATTAGGTACATTCTTGTAACAATATGCAAAAAAAAGTCCTGAAAAGCTATTTCCTGATTGCACAAAAAATTCTAAAGCATGTGTCTGATGTCGAAATTATCCCTAATTCTGTATAAAAAAAAAATTTAAATTGACTTTAAGTTGGATATAATTGTAACTGAAGCTCGAAGAATAATTTCTTATTTTTTGATTCTGGAATTTCATTGTTTACCATTTATCAATTATCCCGAGTTATTTCGGGTTTATGTATGCAGCAAAAATTGCTAGCGTGATTTGATCCCGGAGCGTAAAAAATATCCTGCATTGATCAACAGTTTAACGAGCTTTCTTTGAAACTTTTGGAGTTAAATGCCAAGACTTGCACACGAGTTTAGCAGATTTTAGTAGAATAAAATTATTTTAAAGCTCAGATTTTAATCAAACATCGTATTAGCAACTCGAACCGTACATTGCACATTCTAATTAAAGAAATATACTTCAACTTCATATTACTGAAAGACTAGCTGTTGCCAATAAAATATGAAACGTTTAAAAGCAAATAGTTTACATTTCGGTGATTTGAAATATATTTTCAAGGCTGCGCATACAGGTTAAAATCTAGATAGAGGCATGTCAAAATCTAGATGTTATATTTTGTTTTTGGAATATATCTTTGATAAGAGAACCAAAAAATTATCTATTCATTACATTTATGAAATGTTAAAGAAGGCAGTTATATATTACCCTATGACCTCTATCATGCAAGTTAACCCTTTGACGCAGGTGGGATACTAGTGCCCCTATTCAGTATTTTTTCTGATGCTCTAATTACAAGTGAAAATGTTTTTTAATAATTTTTTTAATTATAAAAAACAGCCTAATAGCTACTTAAAAAATCTGTATGTTTATCGGAATTATATTTGCATTAAAATATAATATCACAAAAAAGGAGTTTGAGAAAAAATTCATTTACACTCAAAAATTTACTAATAGTTGATTTTGTAAGTTAAGGAAATTTAAACTATAAATAATTGTTTCTCTTTGATCTTAATAACTGTAAATAAGTTCAATTTTGAAAAATTATGTTTTGGAAGATTTTTATTTAACGCAGAAAAAGACATGTATTGCGTAACCATAAATTATTAAAATGCTAAATCTAACATTTTGACCTAAATAAATACAAAATAGCATGAAAGTATGAAAAATATGTTAATAAAACTTCTGCATCAAAGGGTTAAGCTATGTTTGAGCAAGAATCCAAAAACTCGTGCAAGGAAGGTGTTTAGAGAACACCTTGTAAAATCCACAATTATAAGATCACACTTTTGTTTCGGAATAAATAGCGTCAGAATCATAATCTGCACCGCGAAAATTAGGGGGCGGTGGTAAGTAGAGCTCTAAAAATTGGTCATCTGTAAAAGGTTCCGCGATCCAGAACCTTTCGGCATACTGCTACCTTATGGGAGACTTATTGGGAGGCGGACGCTTGTAATTATTTTTATACATGTCTGGTGGAGGAATCACTGTCTTATCAGACGCTGAGATATGTCTTATCTTGATGATAATGCCCAAAACAATTATCGTAACAACTACAACAGCTGCTAAAGAAGACACCACGACAGTATATAAAGGAAATTGAGTGCATCGTTCAGGAGTTTCGTCGTTTCCACTTGTTGGGCAATGGCGGATACCATCACAAGCTAAATCAGCACCAATACAAGCTTCTAATTCGGGACATTCGAGGGGGCAGTGATTGGGCCCCGGGCGAATGACTTCAAGCCAATCTATTTTCAACTGTCCTGGTACTTCAGCTATGAACTCAAGAAAAGTCAAGTCTGGTTGATAGAAATAGGCAGTATCTGCTCGCCATGATTCGGTAAAAAAGGATTCGTATTGTTCTTCGTCTGTAGAACAGTACACTAGAATAAAAATTTAATTGAATTATGATATGATACCATTAACATTGATCCATAAATAATAATTGAACGATTCAACTGAAATTAAATCACAGTTATTGATGGCAGTGAATCATTGTTTAGTAACAATTTTATAAATATGCAAAGAATGAGCATATCAGAAGTTACCATCTTAATCCTTGAAGTAACCAGGAAAAAGAAATTCCCATCTCTCTTGCATTCAGTAAAATTGGAAAAGATTAATTTTTATGGTAATACCATTAACAATGATCCATACTTTTAATTAGAATTATTGAAAGCGTTATGATTGAAGATAAATCATAGTTATTGATAGCAGTGAATGAATGTTTAATAAGAGTTATGAATATGCAAAGAAAGAGTTTATCAGAAGTTACCATCTTAAACCTTGAATAGACAAGGAAAATTAATTTCTATTTCCTTGCATTCTGTAAAGTTTGTATTTATTAATTTTTTCAGTGCTAAACTTTAATCCATACTTTCAATTAGAATTATTGAAAATATTATAATAGGAAATAAATTCGAGTTATTGATAGCAGTAAATGAATGTTTAATAATATTTATTAATGTGCAAAGAATGAGAACGTCAAATGTCACCATCTTAATCTTTGAAATAACTCTGAAAAAGCAAGTTACATCTCTTTTGCATAAAAAACTAATTTATATAAATTATTAAAACGCGAAATTTATATAGAATACTTTTTATGGTTATACTATAAACAATTATCCATATTTTTCATTAGAATTATTGAAAGCAATATAATTCAGATTAAATCATCGCTATTGCTACGAGTAAATGAGTGAGTAATGTTAGCTTTATGCCAAGAATTAGTATACCAGAAGACACCATCTTAATACATAAAGTTATAAGGAAAACGTTACTACCATTACTTTCGCATTCAGTTGAGTGTCATAGAGAAAAGACATGTTTTTTTGAAAAAATTGTTTGCTTTCCTTCTTTCGTATGAAACAGTCAAACACATTTCTCAAGAAAAATGGCTGATGTGTCAAAAATGGTTGAGAGCAAAATTATCTATAATTTTTTTCTTGTCTTTTAAAACAACCAATGAATATTATTTTAATTAAAACATTTCTAAATTTCCTGCACAAAACGAAAAAAATTTCCATTTACATAATTCCGCTTTTTGCGAAATAAAATCATTGCTGTAACTTGAAATTAAAGCATCTTGCTTGTTAGCATTAATGTTAACAAATAGCAATGTCCAACAAAGGATAGAATGTAATTTGTGCTATGTAAACAAACTAAATGTACCCTTTAACTTCGACTTAAAGAGCACGAAAGATAAGTCTAAAATCAGGACATTAATCAATCTTCTGTTGCTTTACATATTGGAATTCAAGTCACAGGTTCGAAATTTTTCTGCTGAAATTATTCAACATTGCTCTTCATCTTCCGAACTTGATTTTTGGGATATCTTCTATATTTAGAAACATTCTAATAATTTAGTTAATGATCTTTCTAGTATCCCACCGTTTCCAAATATTCGGAAATCATTTTTAATTTATTCTATATCATCCTGGGGTTCCCGCTAAATTCCCTCACACGTGCTTTTTTATCTTCCTTTTCATTTCCTTGCTCAAACTTATTCCTCTCTCACCATTGGTTAAAATACTTTTCATGCGTTAGTCTCTTTACTTTCTCTACCAATATATGGTGCTTAGACACTAAGTAAGGTTCTTGTATATAGAACTGAAACAATAGCATGTCCATTTTTGTACTTTCATTTGTACTTTATTCTCATTGTTTTTTGCTTTAAATAGTGATACATTTCATTTAAAAAAAAGAGGGATGATGCTTACTTATACACTTAACAAAAATAAATATAAAATTACATTATTTACCTGTGTGAGGTTCTCTGTTATTAACATTAAAAAATAAAATTTTGTTTCTGCATTCTGTGTCGTAAACTCTTCCTCTGACAGTAACATAAAGTGCTCTTTTAGGAAAAGCAGCTAGCAACCAACGACATCGGAATGGTGTTGGCTCAAGCAGACTCAGGAACATATGACCTCTAGAGCCACTCATAACTTGTCCATCAAGAGTTGATAAAGTATCACATGCACCAGAAGAATCAATAAACTCGTATTCTAGGTGAAAATAAAACGTTCGAAAATCATCCTTAGGTCCCATATCTCTCACTAAAAATTCTATGTTCATTGCGGGTCCAACAGATTCAATGATAAGCTCTTCCGTTTGCTCACAAACACACCCAACAAAAAATTGCATATTTTGCCATATTTCAGTTATATTGAGCACAGCAAATTTACCAATGTTTAAAATATTACACTTGTATCTTTGAACTACTGGTTCGTACATATTTTTGCAAAGTAATGTCGAGGAAAAATGAATATCTTTAATTTTCAACTTTATTTTTTGGTTTGAAGAACCACGAAGTTCGTACCTACATACAAGATCTTTAGATCCGCCTCTACCAAATAAAAATACGTTTTTAGGAGATTTTAAAATACCGCGTTCGGAATCTCTGCTGTCTAATGTTACTATGCACGGTGGAGATGAAACATCTTCGTTTGAAACCATTGTTTCAACTATTTCATAACGAGCAGTGAAGTGGGGAACACCATTGTCTCGAATCACTGTTGACGACAGAAACGAAACATTCAGCAAGATTTCAGGTCCCACGCTTAAGTAACTTTCATCAGGTATACTACACGGTCGAGACGGTATTAAATCCGAATAATCCGATGCATGACCACACTGTCTTGGCGAATTTTTTTCGCAAAAACTTTCTACCAGTGCCTTGGAATAATTAGTTTTTTGCTCTGAGACCAAATGTAACAGTTGCTGGTGTTGGTAAAAATGATGGGAATGCCTTAGTTTTGGCACTGGATAGATAATTTCTAATTTTCCAACATCGCAATGTTCTTTATCTGTATACGGATGCAAATCAGGCATGTGATAAGATGTGAAATATAACCATATCCGATCAGTAGGTCTTTTACCAACTATGTGATAAGTACATGTTGTGCCTGATGGAACCGCATGAGCAGGACTTCTCAAAATCCCAACTGGATGCTTATTTCCATCAACAGTTACGGAACAACTTTCTGGAGCAGTTCTGAACAGCCCGGATAGTTGTTCCAAATGTATTTTAACAGACAGTTCGAAGTGAGAGTTTGATAGAGTTTGTGATGGCGCACTTTTTAATTGCACTAAAAGATCTGGTCCACTTGATCTTATGGCGGGTAAAGGACCCGCTCCACAGAACTCCGCTAAAAGTGGTGCCTCTAAAGTACGTCCATCGAATAATCGAATGATGTCACCAGCACAATCTGACGTCAGAGTACCTCTTTTGACTCGATCACTGTTTGTGTGACCACTGGGAATGTTTATTTTAAATTCATTCACTTGGTAAATTTCAATGTGGGCCCTTTTTCCTGGCGGTGCCGAATCTTGCCGTATCCAGTAGTGGCATGTAATGTTTCTCAGATAAAATCCTGCAATTGTGAAAAAATATAAAAATTTAAAATTTAAGCAATAAAGAATAAAAAAGTTGAAAATAGAATAATATAAGTATTAAAAGCTTAATGCTTATATTTAAGTTGAGTAAGCTGTATCTATTGCTACACTTTACAATTTCAATTTTAAAAATAATGAATAATCAAACATTTCAGCAAATATCTTTCTAACGTTGCACCTTACTATTTCAATTTTAAAAACAATGAATAATTAAACATTTCAGCAAATATCTTTCTAACGTTGCACTTTACTATTTCAAATTTAAAAGTAATAAATAATCAAACATTTCGTCAACTATTTTCTAATGTTGCACTTTACCATTTCAGTTTTAAAAATAATAGATAATCAAACATTTCAGCAAATATATTTCAAACAATGCATTTTTAATAACGAAATTTACGTGTCTAAAATACTGAAGTTAAATTAAACTGAAACAGAAATTTATGACGAAAAGTGACTTTATGAGAATTAAACTTTTTTCGTATTATGCATGATGTATTTGTATATCTTAATATCTTTCAATTCCAATAACAAAATTTAAGTTTAAGAATCCTTTAATTATCACCAAAAATTAATAGATGAATTCCGCACCTGAATAAATCAACTTAACATTTCCGATTTTACATGATAAAATTACTACGAAAACAAAAGAAAAAGTTTTCGAAATTTTTTTTACTGATGTTTTTCAGAAGATAATTTTTGATACTGAGATGCTGGACTTGAAAGTAATGTCGTTTCGTTTCAATTGATATTTGTTATCAAGATTTTATTTTTAACCAATAATGTATTCACCCTCGTTAGTAACAACCTTTCAATGCCGGATCAAAAATGAATCGAAATGGATCGAGAAAAAAAATTTATCTGTTTTTAAGACTAACGAATATTCGATGAGCCGAAATAAAATTACTTTCCGGCCTACCTAATATATAAAGAAAAACATGGAATAAAAATGTCAGGAATTCAAAGAATCAATCCATGGAATTCGTGTGAACCATTCAGAACAACTCAAATGTTATTAATAAACCAGAGACCTTATCAAAACAATTCGCCAGGATATTCTCACCTTATCTTGCCCAACCAGGCTCTTATCCATTACCCAAACTCAAGACTGTATTAAATTTACTAAGGTTTAAGTTTGTTATTGCAAATGCACGGGAAGTCCTGAAACGCGTGCCACTTTGATTCAAGATTAAAAGCATTGTAATCTTTAATCATTATTTTCTATGCTAGAAAGTTTGAATTCGTGTAAGGACATTACCTAGCCTGAGTAATTTTTAATGCATTTTTATTGGATCAATCTTATTATTTGATAAGCACAGTTTGTTGTTACAATAGTTTGAAGCATCATTCTTTACAATTTTCGTAAACTGAAAAAACTGTGGTGTATATTTTCTCCTAATTTTATGTCGAACTATCCAAACAATTCTGTGAAGAAAAAAAAAACTTTTTTTTTCAAGTTAATTCATGGGTGCAATAGAATCTAAAACACTTATAAAGGAAAATCTTTACACCATTCACGCGTAATAACACTACACGCTAAATATATTTTTGCTTCTGAATGCACCAACGTTGGTGCATTTTTTATATCGTCTGTAGAATATGTAGCGTATCTACCACTACAAATATACAATTACAATTCACTAGTATATAAGAAAAATTAAATCGATTCTATGAGTGGGTACCTTTTCATAGATGAAGGTTGACATTGTCGATATCTACTCTCCCCACATTGGTGACCCGGACGTGATTTGAACACGCAACCTTCTGATTTTTTATGCATTTTCTGATTTTCTGAAATATTTACAATCAATCACCAGTCAAGGTGAGATTTTCAAAATTTCTTACACCATACATCTACGGAGACATAGGTTCGGCCTTTTTGAAATATATGTTTGTTATTAGTTGCGTAATAAGGATATTTATATTTTTATTTAGTCTCTGTAAGTTGTAATAACTTTCATTACATAATTTCTATCCGTTTCTTCTCAGTTTAACCGAGTTTTAATTCGCTTTAATATTCTCGCTACCCGTATGTTTATAATGCTTATGTTACAATGCTATGTATATGTTTGTTTTACAAAATTATTTCATTTCAAAAATTAGTGTTACTGACTATCAGCTCCTTTACACTAAGTAGTGCAAGGGAACATTACTGGTATTTTATATTAAGTTACTCTTGGAGTAAAGTAGTTGCCACAATTTTTAGCGTGCGTCTTAATTTTCAGTAATAATGGTATTTTTTTTAATAAACGTCATTGAACAGCCGACCCAATTTTGAGTTCGTGACTATCAATGTTCCTTGTAATTTTCAAGACATTCCAGAAGACAAGGGAACTCCTGGATCAAATAATGGAAAAAATTGATTTCTTTGAGGACTTTTTAACTAACTTTTTTACTTTTTTTTATTAACTCGCATTTTTATTACATTGTAAGTAAAGCCACGAAAACCTCTCACGGTTAGCCTGACGATAAGGGGACTCTAACACATGATCCATCCACCACTGTGGATATTTTTACGTCTGCACTGTGCCGGGTGCGGAATTCACATCAACCAACCATATAGCTATGATTCGAACCTAGGTCACTTCATTGAAAAACGAGAGCTCTATCCCATACGCCACCACGACTCATGGTAATATGTTTAGTGAATACATAGAGAGAATACCACAAAAAATTTTACTATGTACGCTTCTATGTAAAGGGTTGATTAAGGCCATTAAGTATGAAGATTACCAAAATTGGTTAATTTTAGTAATTAACCTTATTACTGAATCGGTCTCACTATTTAATAAATACATTTTTATAATTTAAATAGTTTTAAACATTACTCTTAACGGTCATTAAGATAAACAAAATGAATTTCAATAATCACCTGGAAAATTAGGAGATCTTATAACACAATTCCGATAATGACAATCTGTAATCAATGTATCGCATTTAGATTCTCCAGTAAACTTGCTGAAGGAATCTTCTGTTCTTCTTTTTAAGAACCTGTATGTTAGGTACAGGCGGGGCACAATAGGCTGTCCTGCACCTTGTGGGGGTACGAATATCGTTAATTTTACTTTGCCTCCTGTGCTATAAAATGTCGCTGACTGCCCCATGAGTGAGCCACAGAATGATCCAGAGTGGGCTTTCAGTGGGTTCTCCTTTCGACGCGATGTGCCTTTTTTCTTTGTTCGACGGGCCATTCGACTTGAACGCTTTTCACTTGAAGATGGACTAAGTTCCTCAACTTCCATGTATCCACGCAGGCAGCTTGTACTGAAAAAAATTAATAGTTAATTGCGTGGAACTTTTTTTTACATACACTTCAACTCAAACTTATAATATCAAATAACATTGTGTTTTTGGATAATTGTTGATAATTCAATGAAGAATTTTCCATTTTTGGGGTCGTATGACTCTTACAACTACAGTACCTATATTAATATATTCGGTACTTAATACACAAGACCAGAAGTAATCATTGAAGCTGTTAATAAAGTATCACTGGTGCCAATAATAATTTAACCTTTTTTACACCCGCTCTCGAATGAAATTAGTACCTTTGAAACCCCACGCAGATTTGTGAGAGTGATATTTTAATAAATGGTTGTTATGAGACCATCACAAATAAATCTGGTTTAGACAGTCATTTAACAAGGTTTTACTTATACTAATTTCATTTTAAACAGCTTGCATAAATGCGCATGTTTTAAAGGATAGATTTACTTCGTCGACACGTCATTTTATGATGATGATGTATGGCAAGTTTCGTTTCAAACTGTCTTAAATCAAATTAATGCAAGTCAAGTACATACTCGACAACATTGATTTCCAGTTGACTGATTTAATAAATGAGCAATGATCCAATCATTGAGACAGCTTAAAGCGTCATTTAGAAATTAAATTCACTGTCTTCATTACATGAATGATACATGAATTGCAAAGTATACTTGATATAGGACCTTACCTTATTATTGAGAATTGAATAGAACTCATAATTTAAGTGAGTCTTATGGCATATTTTTAAAAATACAAATATTCACAAGAAAATGTGGAAAGTATGAAAAGGCTATAATCTTGCAATTTTGAAAGTATTGATATAAATTGAAATTTCTGAGATTATTATCTTGCTGAAATAATGTTACGTTTTTGAAAATGGATGCAAGAAAAGATATTTACAATAATTTAGAAGTGAAGAAATCAGTAAGGACGTGTTTAAGTTTTTCTTAAACACGCCCTAGTTCTAAATAAATAGTAATAATTTGAATTTAGATATAAAAGCTAATATTTTAGAGTTATTAGCTCGCTTAAAAGTTTTAAATAATAGTTTAATAATAATAATAGTTTTAATAATTGTTTTTTATTAGAACAAAAAAAATATTCTAAAATTTCTCACTTTAAAAAACAGTTCGCGATATTTTTGTAATAGATCACTTTTTATTTACCCTATGGATTATTACAATAATCTCATCTACTTAAAGTGTAAATATTATCTTGAATGTTCCTAATAAATAGGATTTTTTGACTTTCAATCTGTAAAGTATTAGAATTTTTTCAAAATATAAGGCTTCAAAAATATATTTTAATGTTCAGTAACTCCTTTAAAATTATGATGATTTTTTTTATAAATAATTAATGAAATTAATAATTTTTTTATAAAATTAGCTCAAATTATATATTAACCCATTGAAAAATACAGATCGCAATAATTCTGTAATGATATTGAAAATAATGCATAATTATATTATGCATTATTTTACACACGGCAAAAAAATTCTGTTAAAATTACCATACTGTATGGCAATGACATTCCTGGTTTTAGTTAATTCAATCACAATATATACAGTATTTAAATCATTCATTTAAAGAGTTTTCTATTCAAATGGTCATGATTTACCAGAAAGTCTGGCTTAGAAAATTTATTGTACTGATTCTCACACATTTAGCAAAATATACAAAACTGAAAACTTAATTTAACCGAATGAATGATTTTTATTCCAAACTCTAAGGCATCATGATAGAATTAGCAAATTTTACCTTATTTAACAAATTTATCACAGATTATAAAACCATATTTTATTGTTAATTTTACAAAAATCATGACCAAGGCACTTTGATAATAATTACCGTGCTTTTAGTTTTTCCCATAGACACAGAAACATGGTAAATTTTACCATATTCTGGTAGTTTCCCCCTTACATATTTTTAGTACAGTAATCTCATCTTAAAACAAAGAAATTTTTCTAAATAAATATGTTTATATTTATAATATAATAAATATATATAAATATGCTTATATTTATGTTGAATCCCTAAAAAAGAATTTTTTTTTTCTAATTATTCTTGCCTCCACTCCTTAATGTATATTTTCTATGTAATTATTATTTGCGAATGCAGAACTTTACACTCTATTGGCGGGGCACCCATAAATTTAAAAAATCTCTTTTAAAGTCTTTCAAAGCTGCGCTTATAAAAACATTCTGAATTTGACGCCAGGTCACGGATTTTCTGCTAGAGAAATCGGCTAATAATACTTAACATAAGTGGGAGAAGAAAGAAAAAACAGGAAAAACATTTTTACCTGTCTAAATCGAAAGTCCCAATCTGGAAGGAGAGGAAAGTAATCTCGATCAGATCTCCATATCTACCACCAGCCGCTTCGAACATCAAGATACAGGTAGGGGATCGCCTCTCGCTAAGCCTTAGGGGATATTTCACATCCGTCATCCCATAGAAGGTACGGTTGCAATCTGGGATAGAAAATGTAGCTTTTAATAAATGGTTTTTCAGGTAAAGTATATTCAGTTTAAAATAATCAATAGCGTTTGGATCAATCAAAGTAGGTCTTTCTTTTTAGTAATGCCTTCCCCTCAATGCCTACTGGAGTAAATCTGAAAAGTTGGACAGTACCTAATTGCTAAAAGGAAATTATTAATGTATGGAATAGTAAAAATTCTATAAATTTATCTGGTTATTAAAAACATCAGGACGTAATTAACATTTATCATTTAATAGATACTAGCACTACGGTTGATTTATGAAATATTGGTTAGTACCATGTTCTAAGCACTCACCATTACCATGTATTAGTATCGTTGCATAAGTTAATACGATTTTATAAATACCAAATTGAAAAAAAATGTCAATTAATAGTTTAAAAAAACTGAAAATTTTGTAAAATTAGCTAGCCATTAAAACTTTAGAAGATATTCCCCATTCGTCATTTTATAGAAGCTGTGGCTTAAATCTGCGAAAGTAATTAATTAATTAATATAATTAATTAGTATAATAATTAATGTAATTAATTAGCATAATTAATTAACATATTTAATTAACATATTTAATTAACAAAATTTATTAATATAATTAATTTATATAACTAGTTATTGTGTTATAATTAGTTACTTATTCCATGAATTAATACTGCATTATCAGTTAGTGCAATGTGATAAATATCTTATGAGCAAAGCAACGCTTTTAATTTGTAATAATAAAACTTTAAAAGATTTCCACATTAGCTAGTCATTAAAAACTTTATAAGATATTCTATATTCGCCATTCCATAGAAACTACGGTTTCAATCTGAAAAATTGATAAGTACTATGTTATAAGAACTAAACATTGCCATGAATTATCATCCTTGTATTAAGTACAAAGTTATAAATACCTAATTACCAAAATAAGTCTTTAAATAGGTAAAAAATTAAAAAGGTGGTCAAATTAGCTGGTCTTTAGAGCCTTGGACGATATTTCATATTCGTCATTCAATAGAAACTAAGAGTTCAATCTGAGAAATTGCTACCATGTTATAAGTACTAAATATTACCATGAATTAGTATCCTTGTATTTAGAACAAAGTTATGAATACTTAATTATTTAAACACGTCTTTAAATATGTAAAAAATAAAAAGCGTTGTAAAATTAATTAGTCATTAAAATACTATAAGGTATCTCACAATTTTCATTTTATCCAAACTAAGTTTGCAATCTCTTAAGTCGGTAATATGTAAAATACCTACTTACTAAAACGGGTCTTTTTATGTGTAAAAGAACTGTTATCAATTGAGCTATGCATTATAACCTCAGTAGGCCTAAAACTCTCTTCGTCACTATTACTACTGAATAAAGATTCAGTAGTAATAAAGATTGCAAACTGAGATGGAAGTTGTGTTCAGATTATTTAACTAATAACGGTTTCGTTAATGTGTGAAAAACTGAAGTTGATACGGATTTCGTGGGTCTTGTACGCATCTTTCCCATTCCTCAAATTATTGAAACTATGGTTCAAATTTGAGATAAGATATGTAGCAATTAATTTTGTTTTAAATAAAACACATTGATTTTGAAAGAGTTAAGTATTAACTGAAAAAGTAGATATTTACCTCCAATCTATCAATAATTATGGCATAAATAGATTGCTATTCATTGGTGATTGAATATATTGTCTTAAATTGACTGTACTGTGTAATGTGTAATGTTTCGACCGATCAGTCTCAAATTTTCAATTTAGTACCCCCAGAGCTATTGATTTGTTATGGGAACTTGGAGGACTTTGTGACCTCACCAGATTTAACGTGCACAGGTAACCATTTAATACACGGAGATTCTTCAGCCAATGCGATTCAAAATCACGCTCTCACGAGCACGAGCCCAACATCATACCATTATCCCGGCTTTTGTTATATAAATATTTACAACAAAAATGCATTTTTTAACTTTTTTTTAATTTTCTGAATTTTTTTACTGTGTAGATGAATATTTCGAAAAAAATCATCCACTTAAAATTAAATTTTATTTTTTAAGAAAATTTCCCTGTACAGTTATTTTTCCAAATAAAATTACTCAATTTATATATTCAATTTCAAATTTAAGTATGATGAAAATTACTTTGTAATGAAATAATGTTAACTTGTTTTTTATAATTCCCTACTCTACATAAAATTTTCTACTTAGTTATTAAAGTAACCTACGTACAGTGTGCAAAAAAATGGACCATCTTGAATAACTTTTGATCATTACGTTCCGATTATCTTTACATTCTATTACTGAATCTTACAATTCTGAGGGGGTGACCTCAAATAAGCTAATTAATTAGTGCAGACGATATTTTAAGTTACAATCAGACACGAAAAACATACTTTCTCATAATAAACATACCTTTTATCGACGGATTTGAATTAGAGACCCCTGAAATGTAGGGAGTAGCCGCAATCTAGAAAATATGGTCCCAATAGTTTGGTCAGAAGAGCGCTCCAAAGTTGGACACCTTGATATTATTTTTTTTGCTCTATTTTGCAGTGTCTCAAAACCTTTTTAAGTGATTTCAAACAAATTTTGCACACATTTGTAAGATTAGTTTGTAATGAAAAGATAATTTCCTGCAGAAAATAACTTATGATTATATATACTTATTATAATTTTTTTAATTGTTTTGACATTAGTCGATAAAATTTATAACTGTAAGATATAAATTTTTTTTCATATTCAAGGAAGGTAATTTTATATTGCAAAATCCAAAATTTTAGCAAAATTGGTAGAAAAGTTCCAAGGAAATCGAATTTTAAAAGTATGTCGTTTTTTAAAGTACGATCCCCTTTTGAATCATTAAGTTTGAGTCCTAACACATTCTTTAGATCAAAAGTTATTTTAAGGTGGCCCGTTCCTTTTTTCTTTTTTTTTTCTTTTTTTTTCGTCCATAACAATATCATTCCTCACCAAATCAATAAGGAAAACAAAATTCATTCAATCTTTCTACAGACGCGACGAAGTTATCACCAATACTTTAATAGAAATAATGCATATCATTAGTGACTCAAAAATCAATGGCAGTACAATAATTATCTTTTTCAATACAAAAGCATATTCGAATGCTCATGATTTGAAGTCTGTGATGAAATTCCTCACAAAAGGGATTCGATATCTATTCGAGCAGGCATGAATCCTGTTCCAACTATAGTCGACACATATCGATCGACCATTATCATGGTACTTAATGAAGGATGCTGAAATATTCATGCCCATGCTGGTCGAATTCCTTCACAGTTCATTTTCAGAAGGTTATTTTTACGCTGCTACCGCCAAAATGAGGATATAAAAATAAATATTTAATTCAGTAGAATGTGTTTGATGGTAGTTCTCACAATAAAATGACTCGGGTATATTTAAAATAAAAGAACACATGGAAATTTATTGTACTATTAGGAGTCAAGTAAGCTTAGAAATATTCTATCAATAAATTTCTATTATGATGAAGCCATAAGGAATCTCTTTAACTCGAATGTCCCCTGATTTAGTTCAAACTCTAAGTCTACATTTTCATCGAGGTTAAATAAACTTTCAAAGTTCGCCTTTTGCTTTTTCTGTAAAATAATTTTTTTTCGAAAATTATAAAATATTCGATATTGGATGGATTGTATCTAGTAGACCAGTGATTCTCAACCACTGTGCCACGGCACTTTTGTGTGCCGCCAAATCCTTAAAATGTTAAATGTTCCGCCAAATATTAGAAATGACACAATGAAAATTATAATGTTTCTTTTATTACGAGTATATATATCTTCTTCATTTTTTAANCGAAATAAAAAATAGAACCCCTTAATAAATTGTGATCTATTAATTGCATTATCACTTTCTTGACTTACGTCACTTAAAAGATGCAATCTTAGTTCGAAGAACATAACTTAAATATGGTTATTAATTTGTGCACACGATAATTCAATTTGCAAAATCAGAGCAAATCTGATTTTAAAACTTATCTGAAATTTCTATGAATAAACATGCCGTTTTTATATTATTATTTTTTCTGTTGATTTGGATTCTTTACTCTAAAAACATGAAGGGGTGTCTCATGTCGCAATCTAGAAAATATTGTCCCAATAGAAAATAGAGGAGAGCAATAGAAAGTTTGGGTGCCTTAATTATAATTTCAATTTTTCATGCTGAGCAATATCAAAACTAACACATTTTTAAATTTTTTTCAAGAACAATTTAACTGATTCCGTTTGAATTCCATATTTTGTTATTTGAAATTACAAAGTTAGAAAATGATGTGAAAATTTGCATATTTTATAATTCAAGTTTTAAAGAAAGAAGTTCTTGAGAAGAAGAAAGAAGTTTTCAAGAAAGTTTTAAATTTGTTTGTATTCATCTATCATGCGTTTTAATCTATGCTAAATACTTGGGAATTAATTAATGTTAACTCATTAGTCTACTTAACAATATATTCAGAAACATTCAAATTTTCTTACAATATCAAAACAGATTGCGCATGGTATTTTAAACTTCTTCAGGAAATAAGATAATAGTATTTTAAGTTTGATTATTTAAAGTACAATTTTTTTTCAATCCATAAATTTTTGATGTTTCTCCTTTTGCTTAATTTGCATTAAAAAGAGTATTTTAAGCATTTCAAATCAAGTATTTAATCGCTTTCAAACAAATAAATATTTATAAAAACTTGACACTACCAATTAAAAAGACTTTTTAAATATTTTATCGTTTTTAACTTTTTGAAAATATTTTTATCATCAGCCATTTCTTATTTCCTAAGAAATTAAAAATTTTGTGCTATGTAGTTCTTAAAAAATAAATATATGATGAAATATATATATATATATATAATGAAATATTTGTTCAGAAAGGAAAACATTGTGAAAACTAAAATGTAAAATTATAAAATGAAAAAATTTAACCGGTATTTCTCACTTAGCATATACTATGAATAAAAGAATTCTTTAAAAAAAATATATAT